ACTATGGCACCCCTATCGAGTAATTACAATTCACTTACAGTTCTTTCGGGTCCAAACAGAATGTACCATTTAGGATCATTTTCATCATGACCTATACTGCCTTGAAGCTTAGTCAGCATTTTACTACTACCAGACCACCAGAGATCTGACTTACATAGTGAGTAGAATTCAAAGTCTCATGAGGAAAGGGAAAGGGTTTTATTAACCTTTCACTCACAGGACTATTAAAATAAGCTGCTATAAACATTCTTGAAATGACACACAAACATTCCTGTTGAGTTAATAAATATCTGGAAGTGAAATGGTTGTACCATGTATTATGCTTATGTTCAGCTTTAGTACGTAAATGCTAAGCAGCTTCAAAAGTAGTTATACTAATTTACATTATCACTATCAATGCATGAAAATTTCCTTATTCCATAGTCACATCAATACTTGGTACTGATACCATCAGTCTTTACAATTCTGGCAATTTATCTAATGGTGAATCACTGAGGTTTTAATTTCCATTTCCCTGATTACTAATGAGGTTGAGTACCTTTTCATGTATTTATAGGTCATTCAACCATCATCTTTAGGAAATGGATGTTCAACTATCTTACCCATTTTTCTTTTTTTTCCTTTTTTAAAGATTTATGTATCTAAGTAATCTCTACACTCAATGTGGGGCTCAAACTCATGAATTTGGAGATCAAGAGTCGCATGCTCTTCCAACTGAGCCAGGCAGGTACCCTTCCTTTTTCCTTTTTTTTTTTTTAAATGGCTTATCTCAAATTTATCCATCCAATAGTTATGTTGTATCTTATGGCATAATTTCTATTTTAAAAGTCACTTAAATTAAAAAGAAAAAACAAACTGAACCACCAAAAAACAGTTCACTCATTTCTCTCATCCTTTGTCCCACTCCCCTAACAACCACCAATCTGTTCTCTGTAACTATGAGCTTAGTTTATTTAATTTTTAAATTTATTTAGATTCAGCACAGAAGAGGGAGCATCCAGTGTTTTTGTTTTTGTTCTTTTTTAAAAAAAAATCCATACAAACATTTACTCTATTCCTGCCCAAGGGTGGAGGAGAAGGGGTCAGGGCACTACTGGGGCTACAGGCCTTTGCAGACAGCCCTTGGGGGAGGGTGGGGCTCCTGCAGGAACAGTCCAGAGGCCAGTAGGCCTTGTGGGGCAGGGTCTGGAAAGCGAGACCCTGAGGGCTGACACAGGAGCCGGCTTGGCTCCCAGAGGTCACAGAGTCCAGGTGGGTTTGGGGGGTACCAGTTCCCCGGCTCTGGCCCAGGCCAGGATGGACTCTCAGTCTTGGTGGCTGCTGAGGTGCCAGGTCCCCCAACTCCCCGCCAACAAGAGGGAAGGCAGCGCCCGGGTCTTCCTCCTCTGGGTGAAGACGACAACTGTGCAAGTCCCTGGGTTCAAATTACAAATAATAAAAACAACAATATAAAATTAAAAAAAAAAATTAATATTTGAGACAGAGATAGCGCACGAGCGGGGGAGGAGCAGAGAGAGAAGGAGACACAGAACCCTAAGCAAGATCCAGGCTCTGAGCTGTCAGCACAAAGCCCAACATGGGGCTCAAACCCACAAACCATGAGATCATGACCCTAGCCAAAGCTGGATGCTTAACTGACTGAGCCACCCAGGCACCCCAACAATATAAAAATTTAAAAGAGAGCCCCTGTCCCAAACACCCACAACTAGCCTGCCTGGCCTGATCCCCACCTCCAGCAGGAAAGAAGAGGCAGGGACAGGCCTCGCCAGGCACTCAGCAGAGCTCACTGGGTTTCACTTTAACATAACGTTAAAAAAAAAAACCACAACAAAAAAACCCATAATGTTTAGCATTATTTCACTTTAGCATAATGCCTTTCAAAGGTCCCACCATGTTGTCACAAATGGCAAGATTTCATACTTTTTTATAGCTGAATAATATTCCACTGTATATATATCACATTTTCTTTATTCATTCATCCATCAATGGACACTTAAGTTGTTTCCATGTCTTGGCTACTGTAATGCCGTAATGAACATGAAGGTACACATATCTTTTCAAGTCAGTGTTTTCATTTTCTTGGAATAAACACCCACAAGTGAAATTGCTGGATCGTATGGTAGCTCTATTTTTAATTTTTTGAGGAACTCTATGCTATTTTTCATAGTGACTGCACCAATTTACATTCCCCCCAACAGTGCATGGGGATTCCCTTTGCTCCACATCCTCACCAGCACTTGGTATTTGTAGTCTTTTTGATAACAGCCATTCTGACAGGTGTGATTGTAATCTCTAATTACTGACTGGTATTATTTTTTCCTTAAATGTTTATTTAAAAACACAAAACAAAAACAAAACAATAAATCCATCTGGTCTTGGAGTTTTCTTTATGGGAAGATTTTTACCTCCAGATTCATTTTTTTAAAGTAAATACAGGTTACTCAGATTTTCTACTTCTTCCTGTGTTAGTTTTGGTTAAGTTTGTTTTTTTAGGAATTTGTCCATTGGGTAAACATTTTCAAATGCATTGGCCTAAAAACTGTTCATAACTAATCTTATCTCTTGCTTGACAACACTAACTCATTCCAGAGCTCCCTATTAAGTGGAAAGTTGTTTAATTTTTTTTTTTTTTTTTTTTAAATTTTTTTTTTTCAACGTTTATTTATTTTGGGGACAGAGAGAGAGACAGAGCATGAACGGGGGAGGGGCAGAGAGAGAGGGAGACACAGAATCGGAAACAGGCTCCAGGCTCTGAGCCATCAGCCCAGAGCCCGACGCGGGGTTCGAACTCACGGACCGCGAGATCATGACCTGGCTGAAGTCGGACGCTTAACCGACTGCGCCACCCAGGCGCCCCTAATTTTTAAAATTTGTTCCATTAACTTAAAAAAAATTTTTTTTCAAGGTTTATTTATTTTTGGGACAGAGAGAGACAGAGCATGAACGGGCGAGGGGCAGAGAGAGAGGGAGACACAGAATCGGAAAGCTCCAGGCTCCGGGCCATCAGCCCAGAGCCTGACGCGGGGCTCGAACTCACGGACCGTGAGATCGTGACCTGGCTGAAGTCGGACGCTTAACCGACTGCGCCACCCAGGCGCCCCTGTTCCATTAACTTTAATGGGAAAAATTATAATGCATCCTATTCCGACCCAAAAGTGTATTACTTTGCTAGTAATGCCATCAAAATACCACAGACTTGGTGTCTTAAACAACAGCGATTTATTTTCTCACAACTCTGGAGTCTGGAGGTCTGAGATCAAGGTGTTGGCAGTACTGATTTCTTCTGAGACTTCTCTCCTTGGCTTGTAGATGGCCATCATCTTTTTGTATCTTCACATGGTCTTCCCTCTGTGTCTATGTCCTAATCTTCTCTTTTTATAAGGACATCAATTCTCCTGTTTTCTGTATACTATTTGGCCCCTATTCAGTAGTGTCAAATCCTTCCTAACCCCCAAAGCCTTTTGGGGTTCTAGGGCACAGATAAGCTGCTTTCTGGGATTTCCCCTATGGCAGATATTTTATTCCCAATCTTATGCTTTATAAATAATGCCACAACAAATATTATCTTATAGACACATCTGAATCCATTCTTTTAACTATACATAAATTCTTAGAAGTAAAAATGCTGGGCCAAAGAATATACACATTTTAAGTTGACTGCTTTATAAAGAAGTTTTTCATATTTATATTCCTATCCATAGGCTAGAGAGGTGTTTAGCCACTTTTTCTTTTATACTTCAAGGGACCTAAAGTCTCTGTAGAAACTACTCAACCTTTCCATTATGGCGTGGAAGGCAACCAAAGACAGTATATGTAACTGAATGTGCGTGGGAGCATTCCCATAAAACTTTATGTGTAACAGTGGTTTGGATTTGGCCAATGGGTAGCAGTTTGCTGATTAGTGGGCTAGAGAGCTTAAATCCCCATATTCCCATCAATACTGTGTTATTTATTAATTTTTTTATATTTGCTAATCAGATGGGTGAAAACAATGCACTCATTTGTCTTTTAATTTTCACACTTTTAACTATAAGAGAGAATCAACTTTTTCATTATTTACTGGACATCTTTTTCTTTACCTGTGAATAGTATATAAATATCTGTTGCCTGTGTCTATTAACAGCGCTTTCTATTAAAGAATATAGGCCTTTTTATCGGTGTTGCAAATACTTTTTCATAATATACCGAACATTTTTGAAGGAAAAATAAAATCTTTTGAGTTTGTTTAATGCAATCAAATTTACCAATCTTTTTTTACATAGTTCTTAATGTTCTGTCATGTTTTAAAACACCTTCCTCGTGTTCATGTTTTCTTCTAGTACTCCTGTGGTTTTATTTTTACTTTGAATCTCTGACCTATCTACACATTCTTTAGAATAAGCAGTCAATCTAAGCAGTTAGCCTGCTTCTCTGCTCTTACATCTGCCCTCCAAACTGCCTTCTACACTGTGACAGTGATTTCTTCCAGCACTGTCAGATACAGGACTACTCACTCCTCTTTCAAGACCCAACTCAAGTCTCATTTCCACTTTTAAGTCTTTCTTGACATCAATCCCCCCGGAGCAAAATTCACTTTTCTTTCCGCTAACTCTAATACAGGCCTCTGTCTTCAAGGTATTCACTTGTAGGTGCCTGTAGTTTCTATCACAGTGTACGGTACATAGTATGTGACTGTATTATGACTGAATAAAACAACTTTAAAATATGGAATTCTAAAGTTGTAAACTTGAGAAGCAGAGAAACAATTATTTTCATATGGTAGCTATAACTGAAGTAAAATTTAAACTTAAGTACGTAAATATTATTTGACAAAACCTGCTGGTTTCTAGAATGGAAGGGTATTTGCAGATTTACCATGATCCTTAAATAAGGCCGATCATCGTGGTTAAGATGGAGGGAATCTAAGAAGACATAATATTTCTCAGAATAACAGGAAAAGCATCCTGAACCTGTCACACATATAAAGCATATACAGTGAACTCTGGAAAATCCATACTTACATGATTGCAGTCTGAAGAAATCTCATTTTCAGGCTAAAAGGGGGGAAAAAAAAGACAATGTTAAAAAAAAAAAACAACTCAAGTTTTCAAACACCACCAAAATAAACTCAAAACAAGAAATGTGAATATTTAACTGAATATGCTTCTTCAATTTAAGAAGGAAAATGGGGCTTATATATCTTTTAGATAGCTGGGGAGAAATATACCAGAAAAGGAGATGAGACATAACCCCTTTGTAATCAATGGTTTGATCTGAAAATAGGGACAGGGGATAATAAAGTACTAAAGAAACAAAGCTATAGGGACATCAGGATCCTTACAGAACACTTCATAATTCTGAAAGCTAAAGAAAATCAGGCACAATACAGGTGTCCTTTCTAAAGTTAGATATCTTAAAAAAACAACACAAAACAAAACAGACTTATTAAAGAGGGCAGGGGCACCTGGGTGGTTCAGTCGGTTAAGCATCCAACTGTGGATCAGGTCATGACTTTGCAGTTTGTGAGTTTGAGCCCCGCATCAGGCTCTGTGCTGACAACTCAGAGCCTGGAGCATGCTTCCGATTCTGTGATTCCCTCTCTCTGCTCCCCTACCCCGATCACTGTCTGTCTCTCTCTCAAAAATAAATACATATTAAGAAAAAAATTTTTAAAGAGGACAAAGAAGGTCCATCAAATGATTTAAAAACTAGTCTTATGCCACCACTAGGTGAAGTGAGGTCATGGGTACATAGGACCTCTATGTAACTTCTTAGGAGCCTATAATCTTGCAAGTATATCATTTAAAATAGAAAGTTTTTTTAAAAAATAGAAATTATATATATAGTCCCATGACTATATGTGCTCTGCAAAGCCAGGTACATGTACCAGAAGTAAAATGAACTTTCTATTCCATAATTTAAAAAGTAAGCTAGGTTATGCTTAATGTTACATAACGGCAATACACATATTTAGTTTCCTTGTTCATGCCTTTAAAAAAGATACAATTGTAAGACAATACCATTTCATTTGAGTTTCCATAGCATTCCAACCTGTTCAAAGGAAGGGAATTCTGTGCACCTTCTATGAAATATCACCAAAGCAGGTCCTAAAAGATGCCATTTTCAAAATAAAAAGATTCTTTCTATTCACGGATAGAGATAAGGCAATAAACAGTAAATATTAACAAGTTAAGCAGCCACAACTAGCATCAATCACTTCAGAAAGAAAAAGGTTTCTAGGGAACTACTAATTCCACTGTAGAATTTAAATAGGCATTGACACTAATATAAAAACTTGTTTTTGTACTTATTCATAAAATATTATAACTGACTTTAATTAGGTGTGCCTGGGTAGCTCAGTCGGTTAAGCGTACGACTCTTGATTTTGGCTTAGGTCATGATCTCACTGGGATTGAGCCCCGGGGTGTGCTGTCAGCGCAGAGCCTGCTTGGGGGTCTCTATCTCCCTCTCTCTCTGACCCTCATCTCCACGTACATACACTCTCTCTCAAAATCAACAGACACACACACACACACACACACACACACACGGAAAAGTGACTTTAATTAGATTCCTAGGTAATCATAAAATTACAACATACCATCTTTGGACTGTTCCCCCACTTGTCTACATAAAAACAGGTAATGCCTTTTTGGGGGGGCTTTCTATTCTCAGAAATCAGCCTCTATACTATGACTGAAACTAGCTTAACTCTGCTCCCTCCACTTCAATCCCAAGTGCTTGTCTTACATCTCTTAACAGTTTATTATTAGCAAGAAAGCTTTATTTTGTTTAGGCAGCTTTCTGCCTTATCCTGTTTTAATCTATCCCTTAAATATTTTCCAATCAATCAGCAATTCTTGCTCTTTCTCAAACAAAGCACAAAGCCAATGAGTAACACTATCATTTCAACTAGTATTCATTTCTACTACACAATACCTTTGGATTAAAGGGGCATTCTTGAGGGGGGCCAGCCAGCTGGCTCAGTTAGTAAAGCATAAGACTCTTTATCTCAGGGGTTGTGACTTCATGCCCCATGTTGAGCGCGCAGCTTACTTTAAAAAAGGAGCTTTCTTTTAAAAAAAAAAAAAATTTTTTTTAACGTTTATTTATTTTTGAGACAGAGAGAGAGAGAGAGAGCATGAACAGGGGAGGGTCAGAGAAAGAGGGAGACACAGAATCTGAAACAGGCTCCAGGCTCTGAGCTGTCAGCACAGAGCCCGACGTGGGGCTCAAACCCACGGACCGTGAGATCATGACCTGAGCCGAAGTCAGACGCTCAACCGACTGAGCCACCCAGGCGCCCCTAAAAAAGGAGAATTCTTGAAAGAAATCCAGAGCATTGGAGCATTTTCAAAATAATTTATTTAAATAATATGCAAGTTGCTCATGGAAAAAGTGTTATGTTTACAGTTCACAGGACCTATACGAACAAATTGACAGTTTAATGGCTTGCTTCCCTACATTGGTAGACTGGATTATTTCCCCTAGTTTTTTACTCCTCTTGAATAGCATCTGATATCCACAACCTTTGCTCTGTAACTCTGCACAGCCTCCTGCTGCGCAATGAGTATACACCCTGCTCCAATGATATAAGGCTAGGCTACTACTGACTTGCTTTGGCCAATGGGATTTTAAATAGACACAATAGAAGAGATTTTATTTACTTTTTAAAATGTTTATTCATTTTTTGAGTGAGAGAGAGAAAGAGAGCATGAGCAAGGGAGGGGCAGAGTGAGGGAGACAGAATCCAAAGCAGGCTCCAGGCTCTGAGATGTCAGCACAGAGCCGGCTGGCAAGCGGGGCTCAAACTCAGGAACTAGGAGATCATGACCTGAGCCAAAGTCAGACGCTTAACCGACTGAGCCACTCAAGCGCCCCAATAGAAGAAGTTTTAAATGTGCTTTTCACTCTCACACTCCTGCCATTTCCCAAGAGAAGAACACGTCCAGGCAGCTGCTAGTACAAGGAAAAGAGACATGTGCAGCAGACTTAAACCCTACCTATAGCCCGGAGCAGAGTGATCCTAAATGACTTGCAGAGCCACGGGCAAGAAAAGTAAGTATCTGTCATTATGAGAACTTGAAATTGAGGGAGATTGTTATGAAGAAAAAAAATGAATAATATCCCTATCAAGCAAATGGAATAATAAAAATCTGAAATCCATTAAGCCACAATTGATAATAGCTACAATCTAATTTAGTGAATTATGTTAGTAAATACAGAGTACTATAGCCTTTTATGAAAGAAACACGTGAGCCACGGAGACACAAATGAACTGCACATTGGGAGCCCAGTGTTTCGTTTTCGTCTCTTTTGTCATCTTAATTTGCAATAGGCAATAAACTTATTTTTTTTTCTTTTTAGATTTAGTATCTCTTCCAAGAAAGAGACGATGACAACATAGGAATGCTATAAGAACCAGGCTATGATTTGGGCGCATGGGTGGCTCAGTCAGTTGAGCACCCGACTCTGGCTTAGGTCATGATCTCTCAGTCCTTGAGTTCAGGCCCCACATGGGGCTCTATGTTAACAGCTTAAAGCCTGGAGCCTGCTTCAGATTCTGTCTGTCTGTCTGTCTGTCTCTCTCTGCCCCTCCTCCACTCATGCTCTGTCTCTCTCTCTTTCAAAAATAAACATTAAAAAAAAAAAAAAAAGAACCAGGTTATGATGTTAGGCCATTGAGACTAACAGAACTAAACAGCTATGAAGATTTTCTATGTATAATTGCAAATAATTTCAGAAATTTAAAAGGGTCTGTAGAATCAAAGGTCATAGAGATGGTTCAGAGGAAGTGAACAGAGACCTATCTGCAAAATATAAAAAATAAAGTAGTATAGTGCTCGCTTCGGCAGCACATATACTAAAATCGGAACGATACAGAGAAGATTAGCATGGCCCCTGCGCAAGGATGACACGCAAATTCGTGAAGCGTTCCATATTTTTAGCAACATGCAGAAGGTTGAAACTAGACCACTTTCTCACACCATTCACAAAAATAAACTCAAAATGGATAAAGGACCTGAATGTGAGACAGGAAACCATCAAAACCTTAGAGAAGAAAGCAGGAAAAGACCTCTCTGGCCTCAGCCGTAGCAATCTCTTACTCGACACATCCCCAAAGGCAAGGGAATTAAAAGCAAAAGTGAATTACTGGGACCTTATGAAGATAAAAAGCTTCTACACAGCAAAGGAAACAACCAACAAAAACTAAAGGCAACCAGAATGGGAAAAGATATTTGCAAATGACATATCGGACAAGGCTAGTATTCAAAATCAAGAGCTCACCAAACTCCACACCGAAAAGCAAATAGAACCAGTGAAGAAATGGGCAGAACACATGAATAGACACTTCTCTAAAGAAGACATCCGGATGGATGGCCAACAGGCACATGAAAAGATGTTCAGCTCCTTATCAGAAATACAAATCAAAAAACCACACTCAGGTATCACCTCACCAGTCAGAGTGGCCAAAATGAACAAATGGAGACTATAGATGCTGGAGGATGTGGAGAAACGGGAACCCTCTTGCACTTGTTAGGTGGGAATGCAAATTCGTGGTGCAGCCGCTTCTGAAAGCAGTGTGGAGGGTTCAGAAAATTAAAATAGATTCACCATGACTCCAGCAATAGCACTGCTGAATTTATCCAAGGACACAGGAGTACTGATGCATAGGGCAGCACCCTAAATATAGTGGTATTCTCTTAACACTCAATAGCCAAATTATGGAAAGAGCCTAAATGTCCATCAACTGATGAATGGATAAAGAAAATTGTGGTTTATAATGAGGCACAGTAATTCTACATTGAGAAATGAAGAAAAAGTAGGTAACTTGGCGTGGATGGAACTGGAGAGTGTGATGCTAAGTGAAATAAGCCATACAGAGAAAGACAGAGCAATTGTATGGTTTCACTCTTATGGATCCTGAGAAACTTAACAGGAACCCATGGGGAAGGGGAAGGAAAAAAAAAAAAAAAGAGGTTAGAGTGGGAGAGAGCCAAAGCATAAGAGACTGTTGGGAGAACTGAGAACAAACTAAGGGTTGATGGGGTGG